GCGTGATAATCAGAAGTGATAATGCCAACCAGCGTGATAATCAGAAGTGATAATGCCAACCAGCGTGATAATCAGAAGTGATAATGCCAACCAGCGTGATAATCAGAAGTGATAATGCCAACCAGCGTGATAATCAGAAGTGATGATGCCAACCAGCGTGATAATCAGAAGTGATAATGCCAACCAGCGTGATAATCAGAAGTGATAATGCCAACCAGTGGCAAAATAAATTTCTCTAGGAAGGCGTTGGCAAATGAAATATCGGAGGCAAAATGATTTGGAGGCCATCACAAGTGGCTACTTCCTTCCCACTTGCTGTTGTTGCCAAACATTTTTCACATTTGTGAACAAATGTGAAAAACATTTTCGCATTTCTTTACAAGTTAACAAACAATTTAAATATTAATTAGGAGCAAATGTTAAACTTTGACGTTTTATACGATTTATTGCTAAAGTTTTGACTATTTAAAAAAATTCTTTTTTTTTTTTTAAAAGTATCGAATAAATTAGCAGTTTAATATTTAAAACAAAAATTAAAAGTTGGAAACTTCCATGCCATCAGCGAAAAAAATCATTTCGACAAAAAAATTTGTGAGAAATTTTGATGGATATTTCCAAGACAGCACGTGCTTACTGGGATTGGGAAGTCAGCGTCATAAACTTTTTGTATAGAAATTATATTTTATGTAAAATATCAACACTTAAGTGATGGCAGATGAAAAAATATATAAGCATACAAAAAAACTTTTTTGGTACAAAATAGAAAAAGTGCCAGTGTATCTTACTCAACTGCTTTCCAGCAATATTTTATTGTGCGTTGTGTTAACATTCTGATTCCCTAAGTTTCATCTATTAGATGTTTTGTCATGTGATGCGCAGCTTTTGAGATATTTTAATTGCATAATTCGGCCCTATGTTTAACAAGCCCCGCTTTACCCTACACCCAGATTGAAAAAAAACTTAAATGTTTTGTATTAGAGGGCAGATTTGACATACCTAGTTCCCCGTGACCCGTTTTCCTGTTCCTCTTTTGCTTTGTAAACTTGATGTAGTCTTGACGAATGGTTGAAATTTCATTTTTTATTTTTATTTTCAATTTTCAAAAATTTTATTTTTCGAGACCTTGAAGTTGAAAAATGCCAAGAGAAATGTCACGCAACTATGTTGCTATCTATGTTAGAGATACATAGCTTTAGTATTTATAGTTAATTTGGCGTCTAGGACTTTAAAAAGACATTTTTCTTTTTTTATTTTATAAGCATGCAAATAAAGATAAGAGTTCTAATGAGCTCTTAGCATGCAAATAAAATGCGCATATTTATTTATTTTGCTCTAAAAGCAACCCAGTTAGCACACATACATTGATAAAACGTTAGAACATTGTTGCGCTTGGCCCAACATCAACAGCCAACGTTGTTTTTATATCATTTTGGTTACAAATGCGACGTCACTAACAATCAAAAAACAACATTTGCCCAACAATGTATTTTAAGTTGACACTGCGTAATATTTTACATTGATTCAACATGGTATTTTACGTTGCATAATGTTGTACTTTCCGTTATTGAAAGGTTGCATTTTAATTCATTGATTCAACATTACATTTTACGTTTACACAATGTTATATTCATTTTTATCAGAATTAAATTTTTTGTTTTTTATTTTAATTTACATACATATTTATATACATTCATATATATTTATTATATATTTATAAATTTTAAATTTATTAAAGCGTTTAAAAGTTTAAAACGTTAAAATTTAAAAGTTTTAAAATTTTTTAAATGTTTAAAAGTTTAAAACGTTTAAATAGGTTTAAATTGAGTTTATAGAGTTTTAAATTGAGTATTTAAACGTCTTTTTGTTTCAGCGGCGTTTATTTTTTACGTATTGAACCTACAAGATGCCTACAGACATTATTTGTATATATACCCTCAGTCGATATATGCTTATTCCACTGCTCAAAAGTTAATTAAATAAAACACAAGAAAAAAAAAGTGACAATTAAACTTGGATGAATCCAGGTTTAATAGTGCAGTAATTTTCAGTATTTAAAAAAAAAAAATTTGAATTTAAAACACATTTTAACATCTGAATTTTATAAAATATTTTTATCGCTGAAAATAATTCGGCTCCAATCTTTGATAGACCAGGTTAGTCTCTACCGACACCATTTTTTTCCTGCGAATTGGTCTGCAACTCTTAAAATGGGTTGCGTTGAGTAATGAAAGAATCGATTCTCAACCAATTTTTAAAATTAACATTAAACTAAACTTAAATTAACATTAAGTTTTATAAATAAATATTATAACTTATAAGTTATACAAAGCTATTAAGTGTTTCAAGCGAAACACTCTGTCTATTTCAAAACTATTCAAAACTATTCTTTTGAAAATACTCTTAGTCTATTTCAAACGGTTAAATTCTTTATATATTGCAAACATTTAAAATGCAAGCTTATTAATAACTTAAACTTTTTTTTTTTGCCAAGAATTCATTACATTATCATTAAGAATGATTTTCATTACTTAATGTCATGCCCAACCTGATCAATCTACAGATGTTTAATCAGGGGAGCAATTAGCGGGTTTTTAATGAGGTGAGCTATTAGGAAAAAACTATTCACTTGAATATTGTCCAAATTCATTTGTCACCTTTTTTTTGTTGTGTTTTATTAAATTAAAATTTTATTATTTTTAATTACTTGCTAAATTATTTTTTAATTACCTGCTAAATAATTTTTTCTTTTAGTTTAAGTAATTGGCTATTTTGCTAATAAACAAAAAAACAAACTAAAAACACCTTATAGTTTTTTTTAGTTGCTTACAAAATTTTTTTAGTTGCTTACAAATTTTTTTTAGTTGCGTACAAAATTACAATATTTATTGAAACAAATTTGTATTCGTTCAAACTTTATTGTACCACTGTATTTGATATCTTATATAGTATTGTGTATGATGTATATGTCTTAGATAGTTTTGTGTTTGATGTATATGATGTCTTGATGTTTAGAATCGTTTAGTTCAGAATCGTTTCTGATTAATTTTAATGTTAATTTTATTTGCTGCAGTCATTACAAGTTTGAGAAGATTTTCTCATCAAAAGTTTTTTTTTACCTTTTTAAAAATTCTGACCTTCTTATTTATGAAGATTCACACAATTACTTAACTGGTGAGAGTGTTAATCTATTCATTACATTTCGAACTTAGATTGCCATCAAACTTAACATGATGCTAGTATTAAAGTCTTTTAAACATAAACCAACTTAAAAACCGCTAAAAAGATAACCCAAAGATGACGTCAATAAAAAATAAAAAATACATAAAAATGATTCTGTTATTTTTTAATTTTCACTAAAAGTAGTCTACAACTGTTGCCCCATATCTTCTACCGCTTTCCTTGTTTAAAAATACTGCAGACTGCTTTACTATTTAAAATGTTTTATGTTCCGTTATTAGATTTTATATTATATTTCTGACCCTCTGATTATTAGGATTTCCTCTTTTACCCCTCCCCCTCCGTTTAATTTGCCAGATGAGAGTATAAATTTATTCCTTATATTTCAAATTGAACAGCTAAGACTTTCATCGGAAGTAAGAAAATGCTAATATAAAAGCCACTTTAACATAAAGTTTGTATAACTCATCCATTTAGCATCTTACTCTACATAAAGCTTAAACCTTAGTAAACAAGTTTTCTGATTATAAAAATCTTTTTTGTGATCAGGTTGTATTTTGTCAATACCATTGAGTTAATAGTGTTGACAAAATACAATGTAGTTGCAAAGTACAACGTGGTCGTGACAAAATACAATGTAGTTGCAAAGTACAATGTAGTTGCAAAGTACAACATAAAATATTATTTGGCTTGACTAAAGCGTGTTTTTCATTTTCTATTCTGTTGCAAAAAATCTTATTTTTTAAAACGAGTTTAATTTTCATAAAAGTTTTTACTCTTAATGAATATTAAAGGATGTTTTATTTTTCAATTACTTTTACAATATCTAATGATTAAAATAAAGAATTTCTAAAGTTAAGAATTTAATGTTAAGGTCGTAAAATAACAGCTTTAGCATGATGAATTGGTGACAAAATATCAAACTTTGATCGTAAACTGACAATTTAGTTATTTATTATAAACTATTTATTATAATCTCTTTTTTTGGCGAGAGCATAGAAATGAAATTTCCAATTTTTAACATTCGTTTTAGATATGAAACCACTAATTTATTTAATAGTTTTTTAATTTAATCTTGTTTGATTTTATTCTATATTATTTGCATTTATTCGATAAACAATCCGACAAAATTATTATTTTAATTAAATAGTCAAAAGTTTGTCAATAATCTTATCATCTTAAAATCATAGAAAACGCCAACTTGATATCAAATTTTAATATTTGCTGTTGATTTTTTATTTATATTGCTTGTTAACTTAAAAACAAACGTAAGAATATTTTTTACCGCCGAAACATCCGTCGGTTGTAGGCAAAACTTCTGGCTCAAATTTGAGAGCTACAACCAACTGGGAGGCAGAAACCACAGGAAGCGGCCTCCGAATCATTTTGTCTCCAAAAGTTCTTCCGAAAACGGCCACCAATGGCTTCCATCTACCTATTGGCAACGGTTTTTTCAAAGACAAAACATTTTGCCATATCATTTTGCCGCAAAAAATTTATTAAAAAGCAGTTACCAAACTTAACTGTTCAATATTTTAAGTGTGAGTTAACTGTTTTGTTTTATTATTTTCATTTTTAGGTTTAAATATTTTACCTAATATATATATATATATATATATATATATATATATATATATATATATATATATATATATATATATATATATATATATATATATATATATATATTCTTTTGTTTAAAGTTGTTATCTAGAAAGTAAATTATAAAATTTCTAGTTGCAAATTTCTTTGAAGAGAGACACCTGCATTGCAAAGTGTTCACTTACTAATTTAAAAAACGAGAACAATAAACTCGCTTATACCTTAAAAACACATCCGATTTTAGCATATTCGCAATATTGAACACTTACTGGGCAATCGTTTTCGACATGTTCAGACATCTGTATGTAAAAAAGGTAAATTGCAATAAAATTATAAATTAAATTAAATTAGGAAACTATAAGAAAGGAAATGAAATTATTTAAGAACAAGAAATCATTTAAAATTTTTACCATCATGCGCAAAATATTTTTCTGCCCACAGTTGTTGATGCACTCTAAAGGCTGTCTTGGACACTCGTTTAAATGGGTCTAAACATAAACTTTGAAATATACAAAAAAAAAATCAACTAATTTTTTATTTTTCCATTGAATATATGAATTTTGAATTTATAAATCCATTCTAACCGAGATATCACAATAAATGAACTTTTCCATACAATATTGGCAATCAATAGTGCGAAACTCACAAAACAAATCAAGATGATTCAACAAATTGTTTCGTGTTATTAAATCCTGGCATTGTCTGTTAGGACACGAAACATCTACAAAATCACATTCTTTAAGATGGTCCTATTAACATTAAAAAAAAAAAAATAATAATTATGATTTAGCATTTTCAAAATTTTTCACATAAAATATTACATATTTTAACACAAATGATTACATATTTTTTTAAAGACTAATCAAAACAGTTGTAAATTTTGTTTATAATGATACCAATTAACTTATACTAATACATATGAATAAAAATCTTAAAATATAAGAAGAAATTAAAATGCTGTGTAAAGTTTAGCAATATAGTAAAAATGGCAATACTTTATTTATAAAGTGTTGCTATGTTTACATGTTTTGTTTCTGAGAAACAAAGCGTTTTTAAATTTTAACTCAATAAGATGATTGTGTGTGTGTGTGTGTGTGTGTGTGTGTGTGTGTGTGTGTATGTGCGTGGCACAATACTTTAAAGAGCTAATAATCTAAACAGTAGTGTTTTGCTTAATTTATGACCTATTAATCTTTATTAATATACATTTTCTTCCAAAACTTAAAACTACAAAAAGATATTTAATCTATTTATAAATCTTTTTAAAAGCTTACATTGATTGAGCTTATATCACCAATCCACTCACAGTTGCGTTTATAATGTCGACAGTATATAGGCAATGACAATATTGCTCTTTTTGCTGCTTTATCTAGAAACACCTAAGAGTAAAATATTTAGTAATTATGTACAAGATAAACTAATCATCAATTGATTTTAACATGTAAATTATAACACTAAGCATTCAAAATAAAGCATTTGTTGTGATTGCTGGTTAGTGAAAGCATGTTCACTAAGCTTAAGAAAATATTTGTGAAGTGTTCTTATATTTAAACAAAGTAAAAATAAATATTTTGAAAATAGCATGAACTGTTACATCTATTAACAATCTTTCCTCATACTTAATTTTAAATTATATAACTGGATTCTTTTTAAGAACATATCGTAAGAATACTTTAGGTCTAGATAGAATTTTTGAAATTGACAAAACAATCATTTGTTAGTTCTGTAATCAACCATTGTAATAGCACTACGTGGAACAAAACAAGTGTTAAGTTTCAACAGTTAGTTAACATGTGGGGTATGGAAAATTATATAATATGGGTAAGGAAATTTCATTCCATCTTTTCAATTTTAAATTTACCATATCAAGGTTTCATGAAATCTTAAAACCAAAAATATGATTTATAAAAATATGTTTAATAAAAAAAAAGAATTATAAAATGTTCAAAGCTTATTTAAATAAAAATAAATGCCTTTATATTTAGAAAACAAAAAAAAAAATAAAACAAACAATAATTAAAAATAAATTATTTTCTATTGAGAGAAAATGGATTGTAAGCATATATATATGAATATATATATATATATATATATATATATATATATATATATATATATATATATATATATATATATATATATATATATATATATATATATATATATATATATAAGCATATATATATAAGCATATATATATAAGCATATATATATATATATATATATATATATATATATATATATATATATATATATATATATATATATATATATATATATATATATATATATATATATATATTTATATATATAAATGCCTTTATATTTAGAAAACAAAAAAAAAAATAAAACAAACAATAATTAAAAATACACCTTCTTGGTGCAAGCATTACACCTCTTTTTACACCTTCTTGGTGCAAGCATTATGATTGAGGAATTTTCTTTAACTAATTGTTATTTAATACCAAGAAAACAGTATGCTTGATATTTAATTCAATTCAAAAGTTAAAAATTGTATCGAACTTGCTTATAGGAATTGAGATAAGCTGATTGTCAAATAGCTTTTGCTGAATTGTTTGAACACCTTCGTCTTTTCATTTAAATTTATGCTTCTTATCTGGTTGTTAAGGTGCTCCAAGTTTCCGCGGTATATATATATATATATATATATATATATATATATATATATATATATATATATATATATATATATATATATATATATATATATATATATATATATATATATATATATATATGTTCAAACAATTCAGCAAAAGCGATTTGACAATCATCTTATCTCAATTCCTATAAGCAAGTTCGATACAATTTTCGACTTCTGAATTGAATTAAATATCAAGCATACTGTTTTCTTGGTATTAAATAACAATTAGTTAAAGAAAATTCCTCAATCATAATGCTTGCACCAAGAAGGTGTAACTAGTACCATATTATCAACTTAAACGAGCACAATTAGAAAGATGCCGCTTGTCTCCCTTTCCTTCACAACTGAGGCCTACAAATTTTGTATTTTTTTTTTTTTTCTTTCTTAAACTAGAAAAAAATTAATCAAATAATTTTTTTAGAAATGTTTTAATGTTCATCAAATCCATGTTTTTAATGAGTTTTTAACAAAAAATGAAATAAAAAATATGATGCAGAGTTAAATGACTAAATGTGGATAAAGTTATTATTAGTGTGAGAATAGAAGGTGGTTGAGTACCCTTGAAAAATGTAATGTATGTTTTTAGTATGGAAACAGATATTGACAGTCAAGAGTCCAAAAATACTGGTGTTAATAAAGTTCTTGCTTTAGCTTTTGTCAAAAATGTTACTGAAAATTATGCAAACCATATTCTTATAGAGAAAGTAATGCTCAATAATTTAAAGTTCTACTTAGCAACAGATCTTAAGCTGCTAAATATAATTGCAGGCAAATATGTTTAGCAGTTTAGACAGGACAGGCGCGGATCTATGGTATAGCCATTGTGACTAAGGCTACACCTCAAAATAATCAACAAAATAAAAAAAAATATAATATTCCGACATATTTTTAAAGTAAAAATAATATAAATAATTAAGGTAAGTTTATTGTTATTTGCTGTGTAAAATTAGCTTCAAAAGCGATTACTGAAAACTAAAAATAACTGGATTGAAAAAGGTGATCGGTCATTGCAGATCGGTTTGTGGCTAAGTCACAAACGACCTGATTTTACAGCATAGGCTGACTATATTATGGTTTTTTTTTTAGTAATTTTTTTTTAATGAACTCGTTTGCCGTAAACACCTGAAGCCCATGATTAGATTGTTTTTTACCTTGTGGCTGTACTTATTTCCCAGTCTTTTTGTGTCCATTTTTTGTACCCAAGTACCTTTATTTTCTTAGTAAGTTGGTAATTATGGCAGATATGTTTTAAAAGAATACTGTTCCATACTTTTCACATTCGAAGCTATTCATACTTTTCACATTCGAAACATAAAATGTTGCAAAAAAAATTGTTTAAAAAACTAAATGGATTAAATGTCTCACCAGTTCAATTTATAATAAGCTTTTGGCTAGAAGTTACCATGATATGAATGTTTTTATACTAACTTTTAAAACGGATCAAAGTTTTGTAGCTTAAAGGTATATTTTTAACTATGTTTTCACCAACATAACAAACTTTTTTTAACTGTAACTACTTTACTTATATACAACTGCTTCTCTGCTTATTGTTATAACATTCTTATAACATGTAACTTTTATATTCTTATTTTGTTAAACAGGTTAATACTATAATTAAAAGTTTTGCCACAAGTTTTGGGATTAAAAATTTCTATTTTTATTTGCTATAAATGTAAAGAATTAAAATATTACATTTTTATTTTTTGAAAAAAATTTTAATCTTTAAATTTAAGCTTCAATTAAAGAGAAACTTATAAGTTGATTCTATTGTCAGTAGAATCAACTATTAAACAATATAAGTAAATCTCCTATAATATTGGAGAATTATCAAAATGTAAAGTTGTAGGAAACATTGTTGAGCTACCTAGTTTTGAAATTTATTTAGGCGACACCATCTTATAAGATCATTTAATATCAGATTCTAAAAATGCCACATGCATTTCTGAAAACACACAACATTAATTTATAGAGAGTTGTGGTGAAGCATTTGAGGAGATTCTTATTTCTGAAACTTATAAAAGCAAGTACTTTTCAATTTTAGTTGATAAAACATCTGGTAGTGGCAATCTTAAACAGATGTCTGTTTTTATTAGGTATATAGACAGTAACTATAACACTTGTGAAGATATTTCAAGGTTTGATGACTGACTTAATAATTTAAACGTGTCCTTTGTTCAAAATTACGGAAATATTTAATTATCTTTCTGTTGGTCTAATAATTATTTTTCTGTTGGTCAAGTTAAACTAATTAATGTCTGTTGTACTTGTTGGGTTAAAAAAAAAAGGCATTTTTTTTAACAAATTACTCTTTATAGTTGATGACTGAATTTTCTTTCAATTTAACATTAGTTTTAACAAAAATTTGATGGATTAAATTTTTGTTTAAACTAATGTTAAATTTAAAGAAAGTTCAGTCATCAACTATAAAGAGTAACTTGTTAAAAAAAATGCTTTTTTTGTTTTTGAACCCTACAAATCAACGTACATTAACTAGTTTTTGCTTTACCAACAGAAAGATAATTAAACATTTAGGTAATTTTGAACAAAGGACACGTTTAAATAATTAAAGGGACCACCAAGTCCCGCGACATGTTGTGTTCATATTAAAGAGAATGTTAAAAAAAAACGTCTGAGCAAATTTTTTTTGATTAAACCTAATTAATTAATGTATACCAAGAAAAACAAATCTTGTTGTTTTAGTCCAAGCTTGTCTTCTCAATTTTCTGCGGTATTTGGAGTCTGTAAAATAAACGCTATTTTCCAGGCGCATTATACAGACTTGATATTTATTCAAGTGCGTTTAATTCATAAAGTTTTAGTACATGACGTCATAGATTTTTTTTATTTGTTTGTTTAAAACACTGATTATTATTTTTTACATGCAAGGTTATACTCATCATCAATTTCAGAAACGAGATCACGTCACGATCAATATCATCACAGCATTTAGTTAGATCAATCATCGCCTATTGGTTCAATTTCTTTATGTGGTATATCAATATCGTAATATATCTCATTTGCTTCATTTTTATGGTCTTTATAATAACAACAGTCTACCAATCTCTTGAGATTACGTACTCACCGTTTTGAACTAGCTTCTTGTGATTTATCAAGACAATCTTTGTTTCTACAAACATTTGAGTATCACAAAAAGACTGTTCGGTGAACTATGCTATAACATCTTAAAACTTTTCCATAAAATTTGAGACTAACTTGAATTAGCGATATTTAATTAGTAAACTAGATAAAATAATTAGTATTTGGGATCAATTGAAAGCTTTCTTTCTTCTTTCAATTAGCATATAAATTTTCTGATTATTTTTTTGTTTTAACAATCTAAAATGCTAAATCAACTAGCCCTAAAAAGTCCTGTGTATAATTTTTATAAAAAAAAACATGAAGATTGAAAAACATGCTGTTTGGCACCATTTCAAGATGGAGGGCTACTCAAAAGCTACGATTTATAGATATATGAACAGTTACGATCAAAATATTGAGGTCGCAAAGCTGGAAGTGAAAGAAGGCCTACTCTTAATACATAAAACAACTGCATCAAATTAAGGAAAATGTTTAACAATCGAAGAGGTGTGTTACTTTCAAAGGCTTCTAGAAGACTTGATTGTAGCAAAAGCGCCATTGGAAGAATCTTAAATGCTTTAAAAAGCCTGTTCTTTGTTAAAAAAAGAAAAAAAAGACTAAGCAGAACTCCTGAAC